GGCTCCCCGGGGCCCCCCGGGGCACCAAGGGGCCCCCTCCCCCCAGCCTGCAGTCCCCGCCGGCCTACGGCCACCACCAGCACGCCGGTTACCGTCCCAAGCCGGCCCTGGAAAGGCAGGACAGCATGAGCTCCTCCAAGAGGGGCAGCGTGGTGGGGAGGAACCTCAACCGCTTCTCCTGCTTCGTCCGCTCGGGGGTGGAGGCCTTCATCCTGGGCGACGTGCCCCTGATGTCCAAGATCGCTGAGGCCTACTGCATCGAGATGGGCTCCAAAGGGCCCCAGTGGAGGGCCAACCCCCACCCCTTCATCTGCTCCGTGGAGGACCCCACCAAGCAAACCAAGTTCAAGGGCATCAAGAGCTACATCTCCTACAAGCTGACCCCCAGCAACATCAACTCGCCCGTCTACCGGCGCTACAAGCACTTCGACTGGCTCTACAACCGCCTCCTGCACAAGTTCACCGTCATCTCGGTGCCCCACCTGCCCGAGAAGCAGGCCACGGGGCGCTTCGAGGAGGACTTCATCGAGAAGCGCAAGCGGCGGCTCATCCTCTGGATGGACCATATGACCAGCCACCCCGTCCTCTCCCAGTACGAGGGCTTCCAGCACTTCCTCTGCTGCCGCGACGAGAAGCAGTGGAAGCTGGGCAAACGCCGGGCGGAGAAGGACGAGATGGTGGGCGCCAGCTTCCTCCTCACCATCCAGATCCCCACGGAGCACCAGGACTTGCAGGACGTGGAGGACCGCGTGGATGCCTTCAAGGCCTTCAGCAAGAAGATGGATGACAGTGTCCTGCAGCTGACCAACGTGGCCTCGGAGCTGGTGCGCAAACACGTGGGGGGCTTCCGGAAGGAGTTCCAGAAGCTGGGCAATGCCTTCCAAGCCATCAGCCACTCCTTCCACATGGACCCCCCTTACAGCTCAGATGCCCTCAACAATGCCATCTCCCACACGGGCAAGACCTATGAGACCGTGGGGGAGATGTTTGCTGAGCAGCCCAAGAACGACCTGTTCCTCATGCTGGACACTCTCTCTTTGTACCAAGGGCTCCTCTCCAACTTCCCAGACATCATCCACCTCCAGAAAGGTAAGGGTGGCTTCTTGTCCCCTACTTACGAGCTCTCCAACATGGTGGCCCCATGGAGGGAGGGGATAAGCATGGGGAGTGGGATGGAGATGCAACGGGGAAATCTGGCACTGTGCAGTGATGGGAATGAGCATAGGGTTGGGGACCATTGTCTGTGGCTCCCAGGGAAGCAGAGTGGTCCCCACTGTTACAGCTCTGCTGTCACCTCAGCCCTGGAGAGGCTGCTGGGACTGTTGGGTCCAGGCCCAGGTTCTGTCCCACAGGGTGCCCTGGGCTCCAGAACTGCTGCTGACACTGGGGTGATCAGCACAGGCATCGCTCCCCACAAGCCTTGAGCTGTTGGCTCCAGGGTGACCTGCCCAGCACCTCGTGAGTGAAGGCCTGTGTCACATCCACCCCCATCACCCTCATCCTCCCTCCTGGCCCAGGCCGTGGTGGGGTGGCCAACAGGGATGCTCTGGCAGGACACAGCTGGACGTGTCCCTGGGTGCAGGGCTGGTGGGATGTGGACACGTGGACCAGCCTCACAGCACTCCCCTGGCCAGGCAGGGGACACACTGGATCTCTTGGAGACAACCAGGGCCAATCAAGAGTACACTGTCCCTGCCTTCTGAGCCAGGTTTCACACCCAAGGGCAGCGGGGCTCCCTGCGTCCCCTTTGTCCCCTTGTGCTGGCTGGGTGTTTGGGGGGTGAGGAAGAGGAGAGAGGACAAGGCAGGACTCGGTGTCCCTTTGCACCTGGGCAGCGGGTGTGACACAGCCGGGGAGCGGGGCCAAAGTCCACGCGCTCCTCCCGGCCTGGCTGCCCGTGCCAGCGTCCCTGGATTTTGGGGACTAGGTCTGTTTTCCCCAGGCTGTCCAATGTGCTGGCATCCGGGGGTGTCCGTGCCTTGCTCTGTGTCCTGGGGAAGCTGGGAAGGCGAAGGGCAGGATGGGATCCAGGCCCAGCCGTGTCCTCGCCTTTCCCTCCCCGCGTTGTTTACTGCAGCAGGAGCAGAGGAGCTGGATCCCATCCGGAAATTAGGCTGCGTGGGCAGGGTGCAAGGCAGGATTTGGCCTCCAACCTTTGCTTCTTCCTCCTCCTCTCCTCTCCTGGCACAGTGAGACAACTGTCACCCCAGGCCCAACATTCCCAGGAAGGGACAGGGAGAAGGGAAAAAGCCCGGCGAGCTGCAGGCCGGATCCTGTTTGCAGGCAAACAGCCTCTCTGCTAGCGAGGGGGCA